TTATGAATCAGGCGTAGTCTTTGATGCAGGAGCAATGATTTAAAAACCTCAGCCGGAGCGATCAACGTCAGCACTAGCCGTAAACGTAAGTTATTCTGCCGTCTTCAAAGTGCACCTGAAGGTTAGCGGCGACGCATATTTATTTAATTTTGAGGAAAACCCGACTCGAGCGCCAATATATAACTACTGTTCAGGATTCTACTGAAAAATACCTTTCCGATGGTATACTTGAGTGACTGAAGGGCGAGGAGTCACTAAAGTAAACAATTACCGAATTTTTGGCATGAAAATGAAACTTTCAGGAATGATTCCTTTTGCCAATTGGAACACATCCATGCCGAGAAACCTGGTGTCAACATCTTCAACCCCTTCCCAGGGGGGAGCTACCCCCGAGTGACCGTGCACCCCTTTGGGAGGGGATGGAGAGCTGGGTCTATGCGGATCTGTTAAAGAACACGCCAAGGAAGCTTCCCTCAAATTTTCATGTCGATCGGACCAACCATTTTGCGTACAAACTCGATAAAGTGGAATATCGTTCAAAAACTACCCCCAAGTTCAACTTGCCCTGTCGCCCAACTGAGAAGGGGTAGCGACCCCACCCAAAGCGTCCCTCCTCGGCCCAACCTTCATCTCGAAGGCCGCAGAGTCTTGGGTCCCTGCGGTGACGTTGGAGGCCGTGAGACCGGTGTGAAGACGGTAGTTTTTGAACGATATTCTTTATCGAGTTTGTACGCAAAATGGTTGGTCCGATCGACATGAAGATTTGAGGGAAGCTTCCTTGGCGTGTTCTTTAACAGATCCGCATAGACCCAGCTCTCCATCCGCTCCCAAAGAGGTGCACGGTCACTCGGGGGTAGCTCCCCCCTGGGAAGGGGTTGAAGATGTTGACACCAGGTTTCTCGACATGGATGTGTTCCAATTGGCAAAAGGAATCATTCCTGAAAGTTACATGCCAAAATTCAACCCTTAGGTTCCAAAATGGCTGATATTCGAAAAGGGATTGCACGTTCGTGGGGGTGGTTTGGCCGGGGTTTGTCGAATTCGAAAAAAAAACACAACACATGTTCCGTGTACAGGGGTTGTCCCCGGAGGATTTCACGGTAGTTTTGACCATCCTCAAAACTTAGCCCTTCATAGGGGTGGGTTTGAACGGGGCAGGGGGTGGGTTTGAACGACCGCGATTTCGCTTGCGCCATTCGAAAGAGGACACAAATTTGAGTCAGTACACCAAAAATTTCGACTTTCCGATCATTTAAAGTGACAAATTCGGAACCTTTTCAGTCAAATTTTCTACCCCTCTTATTCACTCTAGGGGCTGCACAAGCCGTATGGGGTAGCGCAAGGGATGCGCACTTCGTGGGATCCAAGACGAACCAACGAGACGTCTACAGGCCAAATCTCGACATTCTAGCTCAAAACACTTAGAAAATACGCCGGCTCAAAAAAGTGCGCCGCTAATTTCCAGAGGCAGTGTAGATCACATCCTAAAGGTCATAATTTTGCTTTGGTTTACTTTGTAGAAGTATTTTCGTGCTTTATAGGAGTATCTGAAGTTACCTCTATGCCGCCCGGCGTCAGTCCGCGTCATGAGACTTTTGAAATTAACTTTTTCACAATGAAAACTGACGTTACTGGACAGGCCGTCACCGAGAAGATGCAAAGAAAGGTCAAAATATTTCTTTAGAACCACAGTTTTCCTCACTTGAATTAGTATTTAAACCTAACTCATGTTTCTAAGTCGGTTAGAACAAGAGGTCCCACCTGTGCGGCCCGCGCGTTGTCTTATCCCTGAGACCCCTGGCCCAGCCACTTCAGAACACTCATGAGTTGCCTAAGTTCTTTTTAAACGTTAAAGATATCGCTAAATTTTGGGCGGCAAGTCAAGTCTAGAGGTCACGTGCTGGAAAAGGTTATAAAACGCTGTTTTTTACGCGCTTCGCATCGTAACGTGTACTTACTGTGACATAACGGGGTAGGGGGCGTCATGTTGAAGTTCCAACGTTCGTCAGTTGATAAGGGAACGTGCACCCGACGATCACCGGAATAGCGCCAAAGGCTAAGAGAGAACAAAACGACAAAAAACAATGAATCTCGAGCTATGTTCCGATACGGGTCAAGAAGTATTTAATTTCCGGGTTCCCATTCGTCCACCGGATCGGAAACTGATAACACCCTCTCCACAATTTTAACGTCGTACGTTTCTAAACTGGCTGAAACGAATGAGAATTCGGACATACCCAAACATGTACACACCGTTAAAGTTGTCGAAAACGGAGTCGAAAATAGTGTAAATAATCTATTCCCTCTCGACAGTTCTGCAATAGACCCTATTCAGTCTCGGCTCCGGGAGAAGAAAACAGGAATCCCGACCGGAACCAGTACCTTTACCCTGCCATTTCTTCGCGAGAAAACTTGAAAACCCGATATAAAAAATTATCATAAACATTGTGGATTGTACTTCTACCTTCCAACGCCATTTAAACGTTAAAATAGCGTTATTTTTCGTAACTGGTTCCGGTTGGGATTCCTGTCTTCTCCTCTTTTAACCGAGACCGAATAGACCATTCCACCCAATAGGGAAGAAAGAAAAGAACCAAAAAGTACCGGAAACAGTACCGAAAACCAGTATGTAGATCATTTTTGAACACCTCTATGGCACACCAACAAGTCCAGAATAATTATCTTGGCCAAGAAAACTAGAAAAAGTGGATTTGATCTGTTTATCATACTGTTTTCGGTGGTTTTTGATTCTTTTTTCTTTCTTCTTCCACAGTCGGTGGAATGGTCTATAGGGTCTATTGTGGTGCAGTCGCTATTCAAAAGAAGAGATCATACCTATTCACGACAGATCCCACTTTCCAGAATGCATCCGAATAAAGCATTCCGGGGAAGCTGAAATGCAGAAGAATGCGGGGAAGAAAACGGAAATTGATACAAGACTCTTAAAAAAACCCAAGATGGCAAACAAAAATAATTTCCACTTTCAGAATACATTAAAAATTTCGAAACCAACACTCAATTACCTCGAAGACCTATATTTAGATTTCGCACTGCAAAAAATTAGAGTCTGATACAGAACGATCTACAGCGTTACTGTAGATGCCGCTCTTAGT